TGTGTGTGTGTGTGTGTACGCATACAGTATGGGCATAACATAAACACACAAGAAACAGCAGCTCAAACAGGGATGTACTGACAATCCACTGTCATGTTTACAATAGCACCTCTCCAGGTTTTTCTGTGATGAGAAAGATGCTTGTGCTCTCCCAGCCTTTGTTTAGCTCTGAAATCTGTCAGCTATCAACAGCAAGCACAGAACTCAAATGTGCATATTCAGGAAAGGAAATGTCCTGTTCCTATTTCAAAACCATGCATAAATGTAGTAAAAGTTTAAAGGCTTTATTAGCCAGAAACACATTTGATTTATGGTAAATTGGTGGAAGAATATGTAACTTTTCTTATATGTAAATATGTTAAGCTTTTTGCGGTTTAGCTATCATCTGTACAATGAAAGTGATAGTTTCAGTGCCAGTTAAAAGCAAGCTAATAGTATGCTAGTTTTCAGCAAAGTCTATCATCATTGTCTAGTCTCCTGGGGAGTCTTCCTATTCCTGAGCTATTAAAACACTGGGGTTTAATTACCTGACATTATGGAAATGCATACCTGAGGGGGGTGCTTCATTTACTCCACACCTAATCAGAGATTGGAGATGTGGTTGCTAATCAGTTTGACACAACTCTCCTGTGTGTGTGTGTGTGTGTGTATGTGTGTGAGGTGGGGCAGTGCAGGTTGTGAACGGGGTAGTCTGGAGGCTGAGATGTTAGATGCTTTCTAACCACATGTGACTTTGTGTGATCACGGCAATAGCCCACCGGGAGATGAAGAGCGTTCGACAGTCATCTCATCTCTGCAGTGGGTTTGATAAATATGGAAGTGGGGAGGGGTAAAAACACTGCTTTATGCCTTTTCATTTTCCCCTCTCCCGGCATCCTCTCCTTTAATGATCAGAATGTCAGGAAACATGTTTTGGCAGTTTATCTTAAAGCAGACTGTGCTGCTTGTGCACACAAAATATCTGTAACCTACAGAGTCAGTGAGCTCAGCCCACAGCCATACATATCAAGGGAAACATTAAAATCCCCAAATGGATGGGGACTTGCTTTAACAATCTGTCTTCAAGCATGAGACAAATAAGAAACAGCTGGTCGAGAAGCTAACCTACAGCATCACACAGAGCAGTCCTACACTGTTGGCACCAAAGGCTGTGAGCTTGTCCCTTATTCAGTATGACTTGCCTGAGAAGTGCTTCAATTATCCTGAGTGAAAATCAAAGCAGAAATCCATATTTGGCCACATCCACCCCATAATGCATATTTTATAGTGTGTGTATTAATTATAAACTAGCTCTCCTTGCTGTTTGTGCCTGCCCTGGGCCCAGTCTGGCTATCTTGTGGTGGATCAACACATTTCTGCCTTTAGGGAAGCAGTGGGAGAGCCAACAATTAGTATTATCAGAAGACCATTATCCGTTTCTTCTACAGTGGCTGAGCCCATACATGTGGAGTTGTCTCTTTGAATGTATGTTTAATGGGTTTTTGACTTTGCCATACTTTTTAGTGTGCTGATACACGCCCCCTAGAGAATTTCATGAATCAATACTCTTTTTTTCTTTCAAGGACAGAACCGACCACACCTCCATCTGTGAAACAACTACAAGGATCCCATCACATTAGACAAAATACTGCAGTGATCTTTGAGCTTTAATATTTCAGGGAACCTGAATATTTCTTATAGCAGTAAAGATAAGCCTTGAAGGTTTGCAATGACCCAGTTAATGAGAAGAAAGAGTGAAGCCAAAGGAGAAGGCGATGACTTGGAGTTTGTCAGAGGTGCTGCTGAGAGTCGTCCCAGTAGTAACCACAACATGGGTCATAAATCTCAGTGGAAGGGCTCCCCAGATTGCCTGGAGATGGCAGGTCATTACGAACTGCTGGTCCACGGCATTAGGCTGGCCCATCAAACACATAATAATAATAATAATAATACATTTTATTTAAAGGCGCCTCTCTGGGCACTCGAG